TTACTTACTGGTGTGAAGTCCCGCCATTAATCAGCCTTTCTAAAATTCAAACTCCTGCCAGCAAGATGAGGGAATAACCTAAGCCCAAAGAATGGCAAGGGCTATGGAAAACAGGAGACCAAACCCAAGGGAGGAGACCATCATGTGCCAGGCACAGAAGGCAGCCAGCCTAGAGCTTGCAGAGTGTACCGTGACACACCTAGAGGTGTTGTCACCATGACCTCAGCCACTTTGCCTTTTTCTCTAAGACAGGGTCTCACTAAGTTGCCCAGGTTGGCCTCATGCTCATGATCCTCCTCCCTCAGCCTCCCAAGTAGCTGGGATGATAGGTATGTGCCACCACATCCAGTTTTGTATGGTTTTTTAATCTGAGATAACTCCTGGAGAACATGTTCCATCAAAACAATAGGGTAGGGGCTGGGGATTTAGCTCAGCGGCACAGCGACTGCCTGGCAAGCAAGCGCAAGGTCGTGAGTTCAATTCCCGTACCAGAAAAAAAAAAATAATAATAGGGTAAACCAAGAATAATAAAGATGGAAGAGCCCCAAAATAGGGAACATAAATGACAGAAAGGTAAAGGGATTTCCAGGGCCAAGGAGAGTAGAGAGAAGTCCCAGCAGAGTAGCCTCAAGGCTGACCTGGGGAGAAAGGTGAGCAAAGAACACAAGTGTCCAGAATTTCTTGAAACTGACTTATCCAGAGGCTAGAGGAAGATTACCCCAAGAGGCTATAAATAAGTAGAAAGAAAACAAACGACAAACGAAGTAGTTATCACCTTCAGAACAAAATAAGAAGTAAAAAAGAAAAAAAAAAAAACTGTAATGTATTAGTCAGGTGTGAATAATATTGGAATAGACGTAATGTAAATTATGAATATTAATTTAACTAAAGCTTAAAGGTAAGAATCAGAAGAGATAGCTATTATAAAAAATAAATCCTCACTACCATAAATAAAAAGTCAATCAATAAAGCATATAATCAATGCAACAAAATACAGCAATACACAAATACTATGGAGATGTGTAGGTATCAGAGAAAAACAGCAATAAAGTTGAAAGCCAGTGTCTCTAAGGAGGGAAGCTGGGGTTCAAGGCAGAGGTAGGACAGAGAAATACTACATACCGTTACAAGTCTTTTAATGTAAACTATAGGCAAGGATCACAATCCATCTTTTAAAATCCACACCTTAACCCTCCTCCAGGGTTAGCAGCGGAGGACACCCTGCAGGAGAGGCAAGGCAGCAGGCTCTTCTCCTGACGCTCGACACCCACCTGCACTGCATCTTCCTGAGGGTCTCTCACTCACTACTCCTCCTGGTCCCAGGAGCAGCCAACACTTCTTTCATGAGGCCTTACTATGGAAACAGGACTTTAGACTTAATCCCAAAATGCACAACTAATGAGATCAGAATGATTAAAGAAGAATTCTCTAATAGTCCAGAAACACCAATGGGAAAGGAACAGGAGAGGGACATGTGTCTAGTTCATCTGGCCTTGATGAGTATGGTAGAGCCTCCCTGCTTTGGGTTCCCAGTTTACCCCACCTAGCTCCTGCCCACCATGTATGGGAGACTATTGTTCCTAACCTCAGCCTTTTCTGAATTCACAACAGCAAGGCCCAGAATTTCTCTCCGACCACCTTGGGGTCCTCTTTGACACTCCTGTTTCCTGGTTACCAGCCCTCCTCTTCTCCCCATGACTGTACTATATTCCCCTACCTCTATATCACTACCTTTTAGGGAAGCCAGTCTTCCCTCCCCACAGATCAGAATTCAACAAGAATTCTTGACATACACATGGTGATACCCATATTAAAAATGGCCAGTGGGGGCAGGGGATATGGTTCGGCAGCAGAATGCTTGCCTAGCATACACTAGGCCCTGGGTTTCATCCCCAGCACTGCAAAAGAAAGCAGAGAGAATAACAGAAGGGAGGCTTTGGATCTTGGACAAAGTAGTAAATATATTAAAGCCTTAGTTTTCTTAGCTATATAACAGGATAATATTACCTAGTCAATCCCAGAGTGGTTATCAAGGTCAAATCAGTTAATAGGTAAAAAGCTTAATAAACTGGAAAGTTCCTCAAATGTGAATAATAATTATTATTATATTACTAGTAACAATAATTTTAAAAATTAACTGACTACAAAGAAGTCCTTGAGTGGCAGAAGATTAATGCACTGAAATTAAAAGCCTATGCCCCCTGCAACCATGAGGTGCAGCCTGGCTGGTCTATTACTGTATACGACGGTAGGCAGGCCCACTGCCCCACCTGGAGCCACAGACACCCGAGGCACAGACCCTGCTGCCTCAGACAAACGGCTTTAAACACCTGTGCCACTTCCTCTGCATCAAATCAAATCACTGGCTAATGCGCCTCAGCTCCTTTCATTCTGATGGTAACAGCCGTTGTTCTTATTGGATTGCAGATGAATCACTTCAAAAATATTTTGGGGCACATTATAGAGGCAATAACATAAAAGTACCTGGAAAATGGTTCTGTTTTGTTTTCTACTTTGCAAACCCAAACTGGAGCCTGGGGTTGTAGTACATATTTTTGTCTTTTTTTAACAGAAAAGCTTTGCTCATTTCCTCTCCATGCTGGGAAAAGGGACCTGTGAATCACTCCTGGGTGGGGAGTGAAACCCCTCAGAAGGTCTAGCTTGGTCTTTGACAGAAGGACTGAGAAAGAGAGTGGAGATCTATATGCCAGCCTTCAAATCTGGGAAAAGTGGCTGGCAAGCTCAGTCTCCACTGAGGACAGAAATTAAGACTATGGCAGCCCTAAGAACACAGGCCTAATACCAGCAGGAATCACTGTCTTACTGCAAGGCACTGTTTGACTGGAGCTGCGCAAAAGCTAACACAGACATTCCCTTACCAACCTCACCCTATTCTGCTGAGAGCTTTCTGAGTCTTAACTCAGTAGTCAGCACATTAAAAACATCAAAGCACCAGGACAAACTCATGTTGCACACATGTCCCTGAAGATGCTCTCTTATTTAACATCACTAATTGCTCAACCAGTTATGCATCCACTTAGTTGTCCTATCCCTTGTTCAGAAAAAAACCTAAAGTAAAAAAGAAGATGGCAGCCAGTCATGGTGGTCCCAGCTACTCCAGAAGGAGGTGGAGGCAGAAGGATGACTGGAGTGCATGAGTTCAAGACCAGCCTGGACAACACAACAAAACCCTGATCTCAAAAAAGAGAGAAGGTTGTGAGTTATTGGAAGCATTTGTGATGTATATGCTAAGCACCTTCCTCATTCCAATTCTGGATTATTCATGTCATATGTGTTAGCAAGACTTAATCCATACACTTGCTTGCAGTTGTCTTAAATTGCCCCTGTTTTAATACCAGCATGGACTTATCTGACATCAGGCCTTACTAGAAAGGAATCTGAGGTCTGGTCTCCTTTCTCAGTCACTTCCTGTTTGGACCACCCTGGACAGGTTGCTTCCAGCCTCCAAGACCCAGTCACTTCCTCTGAAAAGCCAAGTAAAGAATATCTTACCTAGATCAGATCTCTTGAAATCCCTTATGCTTAAGAACTACAATTGCCCACTAAATGATTTCTACAAATGAAGAATTTTTTGCCTTTTCATTTGTCAAATAAAATCTGAGGCTTAGGGTAATAGGCAAACAATAAGCTTTGGAGTCTGAACAACCAAAGCACAAATCCAGGCTGCCACTGACTAGACCTTGATAGAAGACTTACCTCACATGAGCCTAGCTCAGATCTTTATCATAGAAATAAGGTCCCTTACGTGCAACATGGCTAATGCATAGTAAACACAGTCAGTCACTCCCCTTGCAGTTTAAGGAACAAAGTCATAGGCCAAGTGCAGCCTGGTCTAAACTTTCTCCTCCATTTCCCATCCTGCTTTTTACTCCCTTTAGAAAAACAGCTGTGTCCATTCCCTAACAACTAATGTGCTATTAGTTAAGTTTTCTCGTGTGGCCAGAGAGTACTTCTGAATTATAAGTGGAAAAGAGTGAGATGTAAAACAGAAATAGGCTAGCAGGAGTAATTAATGAGACAAAGCCTTAAGCGAGACCCTGCACTTCTGCTCTCATTAACTGGTGAGCACTGGCCCTGCACTGGCGATGCTCCCTACCTGTCCCTCCCCACTCCGCTGTTCTCTGTTGTACCTCTTACTATATTGGATCTGTTAAATGCTTTATATTCCGTTTGCCAACGCAGGGATGATTCAGAACAAGATTGGATTATTACCAATTCAGGAGGCACTACACACACGGCTGTCATGTTTCAGTTACCCTTTCTCTCGGTTTAATAAAATTTGCCACACTAATACAAAGCCATCTTTTATCGTTTTTCCCTGCAGTTGTAACAACTTGTCCGGCTCCCTCCTGCTAATTAAAGAAGGAGGGGTTGCGGCAGCTCATTGGAAAGTGGGTTTCCAGGGAGGCTGTCAATATCTTTGCAGCCACTTAGCTCTGGTTCTTGTGGTCCTTTAACCACCCGCTCCTCCATGATAGGAGACCTAATGAGGTCGGCAGCTGGTGGTGACATGGCAGGCGTGCCCCCGCGTGGCAGCGGCCCGGACACCTCCGCGCGCTGGTGGGAGGGCAGACGCTGCGCTCCCCCGGGGCAGGATGACGTGGGCTCTGCAGCCCGTCCTCCCACGCTGCCCGCTGGCTGGGCCCTGGAGCATACGACAGACTCACCGGCAAAGGGTCCCCAACCGTAGAGCAAGAGGACAGGGCTGGGAGGTGGGCGGTTGGACAGGACCCCAGCCCCTGGACGAAACAGATAACCGGAAAAGGGAGGTGGTGGGCGAAAAGGAAACGGGGAGGGAGAGGAAAGAAGAGCCGTAAACAAAGAGCTGCCCTTGTGCGAAATCCTGAGCTGGGTCCAATCAGCCCGCTTCCGGAAGGCCCACGCGCTGCTCGCCAGCCCACGCGGGGCCTCCAGGGACCAGAGCGCGGGGAGGGCGCCGTGCGTCCGCGCCCGGTCCATCTGTCCAGCTACGTAATTACCTGCTCTGGCCCCGGCTGCCGCCCTTTGGAAGTACAGCGGCGCGGCGAGGCGGGCGCATTAGCATTCCCGCCGGCGGCGGGGAGCCTGGGCGCACGAACTGGCACGGGACATGGTCCACGGACAGCCCCGACTGCTGGAACTTCAGGCAGCCCTAGGGCGAGGCAAGGAGCCCCTCGTCCTTGGAGAGGGAGGGCATCCTCCCCTGGGAGGGACCTGTCTCCTCTCCCGTCCTAAGACCCTTCCCACCTATGCGCTCGGACCTCACTCCGAGGGGAACACAAACATCTGGGCGGGCACTGGCAAGGTCAGGACTGGGGCGGGGCGGGGGCGCTGGGGGCTGGGAAGTGCAGAGCGGCCGCCTGATTAGCATGCAGTGGCCGTCGCCCTCTCCCGGCCCCAGCGCAGCCGCCGGGATTCCTGGGCCCTCTCCCCGGGCGCGCACACTAATAAGTTTACAAATGGAAGCCGGTGGCGCCACTTGCAATAAAAGGCAGAAGCTCCGCTCCGGCGCTTCAATGAGAGCATTTTCCCCGTAACAAGGGGCTGGATTCAGCTGCCTGGAGCCGTCTGAGCGGGGCGAGTTGCCAGAGTAACGAAGGCCTAGCGCTCACGTGGGGAGAGGGAGCGAGCTGCAGGCTCCAGGGCTTGCCGCTGGGCCGGCACAGTCAGCCTTCCTCAGGCCGAGACCCATTCCTTTCGGGCATGCCTCCCCACCCAACTTTCCCGCTAATCAGGCTCTCACTCCCCCAACCCCCAGCCTTTAAAAAGCACCTCGTGGGTGCTTGTACTAAATGCAGGAGACACGCGGAGTACCTGCTGCAGGTGCTCCAAGATGGACCGAAAATGGGCCAGGCACTTGCCCCATGGGGGAGGCACCCTGAATTCTGGCTGTACTCAGAGCAGCCTGGGAGGCATAAGGGACCGCAGGACCGACAGGTGTCAGAACTCACACAAACAGCAGAAGGCCAGGTGGGATTAATACCTCTCTGCTGGAACAAGCGGTAGGTCTGCTGAGCAATCCTGGGAAGGGTGGCAGAGCATTCAGAGCCAGAAGTGCCACAGGATTTTAGATGGAAAAGGACCAAAGGGCAAGGTTCTGGAACTGCTTGGGTCTTGACTACCTGAATAGTGGACAAACCCCACCTGTCCCACCCACAGCTGCAAGACCACAGCTGCTGCTTTCTCCTAGCCCTTGACCTAGCTTGGCCCAAGAATGAACTCAGCTTTTGGTCTCAGTTTTCCAAAGTTCACATTTTACTACCCACTTTCTTCCCAGGGACTACAGAATACAGGCATTGCCTTACCTTCTTGTACAAGTTTGTCACTGGGTTCATCCAGACCCCAGAAGCTATTCTTCAGGGCCTAGCGCATGTGCTCTTGTGCTTATGTGGCATGTGCATGCATGTGCGCACACACACACACACACACACACACACGTACACACACATCAGGAACCCAGAGCTCCTCTCTGAAGCGACCCTGAAGCTTGGCTGAGCACTTCTGGGCAGCTGCCTTCCAAACTGCAATATGCTATTAACCTAGGGCAGTGATGGCAAACCTTTTAGAGCTTTCAATGATAAACAGTGGGCTCCATTTCACCACCACCGACCTAGGAGAAGCTATGCCCAAAAGCAATGCTGCCAGGCCAAGCAGTCCCTGGACCATACAGAAAAAGAGTCCAGTAATAGCCATTGCCCACATACTAGTATAGAAAAGCTATTTCCTTTGTAACTGACAAAAAAGGTAGCCCCTTCCCAGGTATGGCCTGGGTGCAGGGAGATGAGATGGAAAGGCACATATTAACAGCAAAGCTCTTGGGAGCCAGGCCAGCTAGAAGCCTGCTTGCATGATCAGCGTCTCAATAATCACATGCTCCCCATGCCTCAGTGGTCATATGAATCTACTTAATCAGTGTAAGGCCAAACCAGGGTCCCCAGTACCACCAAGCAGCTGGACCACACATACTGGCTGCCTGTTCTGGCTCCCCATACCTGGATCCTCCCTTCTCCACACCTGAAACTCACCCCCCACATCCAGTCAGACCACACACATTTCTCAACATCTGTGGCAGCCTCAGGGTCTTTCCATCATCCAGCTGTCTTACTACCACCAGAGGATGTCAGGCTGTTCCCTTTTGTGTAAATCTGATACACAATACCCTCTGATACACAAGACCTTCTGTTCACTGCCATTTCCCTGGTTTCTCTCTCCCCCTGAACCCTGGCTTGCCTGGACCCAAACACAGGTCCTCACTCCTGTCTGATGTTTGTGCCATCTCTTCCCCAGTCCACAAACCCTAGCTCCCTTGCTTCCCCCGGCTGGTTCCTGCACATCCTTCCAGACACAGCTCAGGCACTGCCCCCTCCAGGAATCCCTCCTTGGTTTCTTGCCATCCATCTTGGGCTGAGTCAGCCCTGCCTTGGTCCATTTTGTGTTACTGTAACAGAATACATAATGCTGGGCAATGCATAGAGCAAAAAGGTTTATTCTGGCTCATGGTTTTAGAGGTGTAAAACCAAGATCAGGTAGCCTCATCTATTCAGTCTTCTGTCTTCTTCACAGCATGGTCATAGCATCCCATAGTGAAACATGTGGGAGAGCACTGAGCCGGAAGACATCGCATGGCAAAGGAGAGGAAGCAAGAGACTGGGGAGGGGCCAGGCTTGCTCTTTTATAAGAACCTGCTTTCAAGGGAACTAACCTACTCTTGTGGGATCTCACTCACTTGTGAGACCAGCATTAATCCCTTCCTGAGGGCAATGTTGGCCCAGTCATTTCCTACTAGGCCCTCACCTTTCAATACATGACACTGCCCTCAACCATGCACCCCAGATAACCTGTGCACCTTCTCTAGACAGCAGACCCCTAAGGGGCAAGGCCAGCCAGGGCCCTGTTGACTGTTCAGCCAGGCCTTAGTGGCAGGTGACTAGAAGTCTTAGCCATGGAGTCTGTCAGTTTTTGGTGTGGTTTCTCAGCTCTTCCATCTTGGGGTATCACTTAATTTCTCTCACTCAATTTCCTTATTAAAATGGATAATGATACTATCTTATGGCTGTTAGGGTTAAATGAAGTAATGGGTTGAAAGGAATTAGCATAGTGCCTGGCATATGGTGAGCGAACTCTTCCTTCATTATTTGTTCATTATTCCTCAGGATCCAACTCATCGGGCACATTCTAATCACTGACTCAAATGAGTAAATGAGTGATGACGGGGAGACTACAGCACAGTTCTGAGGCCCTCAGTGCCCTTGCGGCTCCCCCTTGATATGCTTTGGTTTCTTTGTAGCCCACTGGGGATACGTCACAAAGAACTGGTAACCAGTCATATGTCCATCATCTGATGGATACGATGAAGTAATTAAGTCACATCCTGACCTACAAGTGGTTGAGAAAGAAGGAAAGAGAAACACCGGAAGATGGAGGTGCCTGGGTGACTCTGTGTCTTCCTAGGGCTTGAGGGAGGAAAAGAAGGAGAGAGAAAGATGGCTGTGTTTTGCTGGGAGACAATTGTTTCCTCATCCGTAGTGGTATAAGACTGCCCTCTGTGTAACCTGGGAGTCTGGCAGGGGATGCCCATAGGGCCCTCTTGGGAGTCCCAGACTAGCTTCCCCCAGTGTGCAGATCCCCAAGATTGGAAGGACCATCGGACACCACGCTGCCTCCTCTGCGGTGAGGAAGGGAAGGCCTTGCTGGTAAGATGAGCTGGCGAGCCAAAGTACAAGGGAGAGAAGGAAAGGAATGCCGATCTAGAACACAAAGTTAGAACTTCCTCAATTCCCCACAATGAATAGAATTATTATGTATCATAAACATATGCCAAGCAATAAATTTTAAACATTGGCTGGAGGGCTGGGGTTATAGCTCAGTAGTAGAGCACTTGACCAACATGTGCAAGGTCCCGGGTTCCATCCCCAGCACTGGGGCAAAAAGCTGGTCCTGTCCCACCTACCCACCTCACTCACCCACTGTCTCCCTCCCAGCCTGGAGACCACACACAGGGTCTGGCCGGCTCCCTCCTTCCCTGGCTGTTTTGCAATTTTAATTTCTCACCTTACTAAACAGCCAAGATTTATGGCACACTTGACAGAAATATTTAATTTTCCAAATGTCTATTATTCAAAGGCTATGGAAATCTCCAGCCCTAACATTTCCACATTAATATCCATCTAGGGCTGAGGCCAAATAAAGATCATCTCAGCAGTGTGGAAGGGGACAAAGGAGGATCCACAGAAAATCTCCCACAGAGTTCATACCATCTCCATCCCACTTCACCAATCAACCATTTGTGCTTTTTAAAATTGTTATTAGTATCATTTAACACTGAGCACGTATTATGTGCCAGATACTGTATTCACCAGATATAACAGCCACGATTTCATTGAATCTTTATAACCCTGTGAGGTGACCACTGTAGTGTCCTATTTTATAGATTAGGAAACTGAGGCACAGAGCTATGTAGGATCACCCAACTAGTAAATGGCGCTTACATGAGAACCCCAACGTGATTAACTGACACTGCCTCTTTTGTATGCATGGTGGAAATGCTCTTTCTTTCTACGGTACAGCTATGTTATGTTCAATTTAATTCTGTATCTCACTGTTAAGCCAATTCATTGATGTATTCCATGTGTGCACACGTGGAGGGTCCCTGCAGCACACAGACTGTGGCTGTGGACAGCATAACAAACAGAAAATGAGGTCCCTCGTCTATCCTGCTCTTAAAATCTGTGTGGAAAACTGGGCATATATGCAAAACAATGCAGCAGCAACACAAGGCAGAACAGTCACACCACCTACCTAGGGGATTCAGCTCTCTTGAGATAAAGCAGGAACAAAAAGACCTCAGAATACACAAGACAGTTCTTCTCAGACCTCCTTCTCTGCCTGTCGCCTCTTGCACGGGTGCAATGCTGACTCAGTTTATACACACTCAGTGCAGAACAGGGAGAAGGAGCTTTCTGGCAAAGGCAAGTGGCAATAAAAGAAGAATAAAACAGGAATAGCGGACGAAGAATTCCAGAAGTTCAGCAGTCTTGGACAAGAGGATGTGCAGGAAAACAGAGCATCTGACTAACCTAACCCCTCAGAAAATCTGTCCTTTGCAGCTCAGGGTAATGACTCTGAGTAATGAAAAAAAAGATCAAATCACTATCTATGCACCCTATTTACAAAAGCATGGATAAAAGTCACGCTTTTCTTATGTCCATTTGGATGGAAATATTTCATCAAAGTGGCCAAAATATTTATTTTAAAATTTAG